GGGCCTTACATATATCTTGCAGCGATATTGAAAAGATTATGAATGCCTATGAGTGACTGGCACATAGTGAGTGCAGAGATGACAGATATGCAGCAAGGACCGTCTTCAAGCTCCAAGCACGGTAATAGGAGTTGTGGACGCTGAGACAGGACGGCCAACAGAAAGGTGCAGGGCACGGGGGGGGGCATCTTCAAAAGATAGTGGGGGTCGTGTTCTGGCCTTACTCAAGCAGCTGCTGAAGGATCACTGTGAAAGGGGCTTCAGAAAGCATTTCTGTTCAACCCTAGGATCTCTTCAGTTTCTAAAGTCATAAAAAAGAATGGCCAACCTAAAGAGAAAAAAATATCTCTAAGTCCCAATACCCAAGGCTAAGATGAGGTAATGAAGTGTCTGTGCTGCAGTTGTTATGCAAACGAAACAAATGAGAGCAAGTGAGCAATCGCTTCTCAACTGTCACTTAAGTATCACTATAGGCTTACTGCGGTCTAGGTGTGTTTTATTTTTCCTTTGGTAATTATCAAGATGGTGGGTGCTAAAAAGTACATTAGGAAACTCAATGGCTTCCAAATACGGAACCTGCTTGGGTTGAGATGTATTATTATGGAAATAGGTGAGTTTGCAGGCTGGTCATTTTGTGCTCTGAATTGCTTTAGAGATGAGAGCAGTGGGCTGAATTATCAATCAACTGAAATCTCCAAGTTCCAAGATTTCCTTCTGCCTGGGCTATGTGACCATGAGTAGGTCTTCAACATCCCCGTACTCAGATTCTTTGAGTCAGATTACTGACTCAATGGTCACCACCTCCTTATCAGGTAGTTATGTGTTAAACATTTTGAACTCCTGAGATTAGGGCCAATTGCTACTGGGATTGTATTTATTCATAACTAAGCAACTCTAAGTAGGTCAGGTGCAAGTGATCAAGGAGGAGAAAGGCAAATGTTATCAAGGCAAAATTAGCATACAATCTAAAATAAATCATTTTCCTAAGTGTACAGTGTGGACCCTGGGGGTCCTGTGAGGGAGAACAAAGGCCATCCCTTAGCTTTCCAGGTTTTTCATATCATGGTGTGAAAACCTACTAAATTCATAGAGTTCTGTAAAGACAAATATCCCTGAGATAAAGGAAATCTATCACTTGCTCAAGAGAAATGTTTTTAGATTCCCTTTTTATAAAAAGTAATTTGACCTCTTCCCCCATCCCAAATCCCTGAGACTTTGAAAGGATAAAGGAACCAATCTGGAGCTTTTTCAAAGGATTTATTTGCTACAGAATTGCTTGGGCCCACCAACAAGATGAACTCAGGATTTCTGTGTTTAAAAGGATTTTGCTCACCGATTTATTTTTACAAGTGCTTCAACATTCAAAAAGTAATTCTTTTTGCCAGTATTTGGCATGTCTAGAAGAGGTTAGAAAAAGTTAGAATCTATAGAATTAGATGTCCAAAAATAGAAAAAAACCCAAACATTTTAAAATTCCTCATTTGGACAGGTCCTGAGTTGAAATCACATTCATCTGCAAGAAGAACTGTTTTAGGTCAGAAACACTGTTTTGTAACTCCCGATCCTGATCTTGGATTTGACTGGGGAGGACTCCAGGCACTGCATGAATGACAGGAGAGACGTCATTCAGTGGGCCAATTCTGGTATGTGTCCTACCTGGCTTGTAAAGGTTTATAAATATCTCTTAAACCCAAACCTCTGGTTCTCTGATGCCGATTGTCTTAATCTGATTCTCAATATTTTTTTAAACAAATAAACAAAAATTTTCCCTGCAAGATCACACATTTAAGTATTTGTTGCTTGTGGATAGATACAGAGAAACCAAGTATGGATGTGAATTAACAATTCAGCAATGGAGCTGTGAATCTCTGGATGGCTGCGTATGCTGCAAGAAAAGTCCCTCGCTGGCCCTGCACTTGCTGTGCACCAGAGCTGACCATCCTGGCAAGGTCAACCCGAAGAGGGTGTGAACCCCAGCAGCTGCTCGATGGGTTTAAACCGCCACTCATCTGCCTCTAGCTCTTCTACCAAACCGGCCAGTTTTTCCATCCGAGCAACTTGCTGATCTGTAAAGAGTCAAGGAGGCAATATATAATACAACATATTTCCCACGAGACAGTCACCAACCACCAACGTGATCATTGGTTTAAAAATAATTTCTAGAAGGGGGTGCCTGGCTGGCTCAGTGGGTTGAGTGTCCAATTCTTGGTTTTGGCTCAGGTCATGATCTCAGGCTCATGAGATCGAGCCCCACACTGAGCTCTGTGCTCAGCACAGAGTCTGCTTGAGGGTCTTTCCCTCTCCCTCTGCCCATCCCCCTGCTTGTGATCTCTCTCTAAAATAAATATATAAAAAAAAAATCTTAAAAAAAAAAGATAAACATCTAAAAAAAATTTCTAGAAGGATTTTTTTCCTTCAGTATTCAAGTGTTAGGGTCTTATTTTATGTTAGTCAAAAGATTAAATCTTAAAAAAAAAAAAAGAGTATGTTATCCTCCATGTCATAGGGATTTGTGTATTAATATCCTAGAGTTCCAGGTAATTGCAGCTTTTCCTCCCACATTATGCCTTCAATGGAGAAATGGTCTGTGGGGGTACACAGTGCCCTGATGCATAAATGAAGGCCACAGAAAAGGTGCTACCAGGATCTTAAGAGTGCAGACAGACCATAAGGTATTACATAAATACCTGAAGAATGAAGATGATGATGGTAACCAGTAGAAGACAACAACAAAAGGTTTCAGAAAGGGGAGGAAAAAGCAACACAAGAGGAGTAGGGAGCATTGACTCCTCTAGAAAACTAAACCTTCTTGACTTCAGCTTTGAGCCTCAACGTGGACATTTTGTCTGGCTTAAGACCATAGAATGTTTTTGTCTGCAGGTAATTAATTAATTAATTAATTAATTTTAAAAGATTTTATTTATTTGCCAGAGAGAGACACAGTGAGAGAGGGAACACAAGCAGGGGGAGTGGGAGAGGGAGAAGCAGGCTTCCCGCCAAGCAACGAGCCCGAAGTGGGGCTCGATCCCAAAACCCCAGGATCATGACCCAAGCCGAAGGCAGACGCTTAAGGACTGAGCCACCCAGGCACCCCTGTCTGCAGGTAATTTAGAAAGTTCACTTAAACAGCTTTGTTGAGATTCAGGAGTTTTTGTCACAAAGTACACTGATCTTTCTGAATCCTCCTCTCCCCCCGGCAACTTATTCTCACAGTTAGTACAAAACACTCATGTGCTTACCATGTTTCACCTGTTTAAGTGTAGATGCCACTTGATAACTGAAAACAGATTCGCAGAGGAATCTCTCAGAACCATCTACAAACAGAAGAGGAAAAGTTTTAATGTGCTCTAAGGGTTTTATGGCTTCTGATAAACCATGTAAACGTGCCTATTCTTTTCCCTGCTTTCACATTCAGGGTCTGGTTTTCAGTGTTTACGAAGAGGGCTTCTGTTTCATTGAGAACGAACAGTGCTCTGTCTGCTATAAAAACTACTTCTTCTATACCTAGAAAATTACAACAGTCCCTCTACTTGTCTCAGAATTTAAAAATAATGTTTAAGAAAACAAAAATAAGAAACCTCAGTGTGATGTCCTGGTCAACATTTCTCCCCTCCTAACCTGACAGTTTCTTAATGTTCTCTCATTCCGCATGTCAGGCGAACACTGACATCAGACATATCTGGCCACGTGCCCCCGTGGTATCACAAAACAAAGGCCCATCAAAACTCTAAAAAGTAAAGCTGAGGGGGAAATAGCTGTTGTTGATTTTTAATATATCAAATTACATCACTATGACCATTGCAAAGCACTGCTGGGAAATCTTATTCTGTAAACGCAAATTGTAACCTTGATTTTCCAACTGAACCAAAACACTGCAATTTGCATGGTGATAAGAGTATGGTGCAATTTCAGAACCTAGCATTGTGTTGGTGCCAAGAACTGGCAATAAGAAGATAGCTAATTCAGTCACAATAACACTGGGAAGTTGATTGTGAAACATAAGCTAGTTCATGTTCTTGTCAGACAAGGGCTGATATGGCAAAACATACCCCAAAAGACATAGAGCTCATATAGGAAAATGTGACTTTTAGAAGGGTAGCAGACACCATTTGGGTAAGGTGTCTTATTGTAAAAATCCTAAAACAAATGGAGGGAGAGGACACGGCTGTCTTTTTTTACATGGTAGTTCATGCCAGCACTACTAGGTGTCAAGCACTCACCCATCAATCATGCGTTGGCGTGTCAGCCAGCTATTAAGTGACAAGGAGCTAGGACTAACACATTCTGGCTTCATGCTGAGTTTCACACAAGGATGACCTTGTTTCAGAAGTCCTGGTTGTAGAAATAAAGGAAACCTCATTTGAAATGGAGTCAGGAGGCCAGAAGGGGGAGCACTCACACCCTAACACTTCTGGTCAATGGTAGACTCTAACAGGTAGAGGTAAATTTTGCTTTCCCAGCAGGAAGAAGTCTATTATTTTGCTACCCTAGCATGATGAAGAAAGTTTTTTCTCCTTGCCAGACAACAGCCCAGCCAATGAGAAACTGTCACAACTCAGCCAATGAAAAGCCGTTACACTTCACAAATGCCTAGTTTGTGCCAATGGACTTTTTGTTTATAATATATAGTCTCTCCCAACTCCCCACTTTCCTCTCCTTTGTTCTCTAGACTTGCCTATGGTTTTGCCATTGCTTGCCTGTCCCCAGTTGCAATTCCTTGCTATTCCTGAATAAACCCATTTTTGCTGGTAAAATAACATGAGTTATTTTTAGGATTAACATGGTGAGGGGTGCCTGGCTGGATCAGTTGGTAGAACATGTGACTCTTGATCTTGGGGTCCTGAGTTCAAATTGATATTGGGCCTAAAGCTTACTTAAAAAAAAAAAAAAGAATGGCGGTGTGCCTGGGCAGCTCAGTTGGTTGTGTTCGACTCTTGATCTCAGCTCAGGTTTTGATCTCAGGGTTTTGAGTTCAAGCCCCGCGTTGGGCGCCATGCTGGGCGTGCCGCCTACTTAAAAGAAAAAAAAAAGACTGGTGTGCATGGCTGGCTCAATTGGTGGAGCATGCAGCATGCAACTCTTGATCTTGGGGTTGTGAGTTCAAGCTCTACCTTGGGTGTACAGATTACTTAAAAATAAAAAAATCTTAAAAAAAAAAAAAGAGGGGTACCTATATGGCTCAGTCGGTTAAGCATCTGCCTTGGGCTCAGGTCACGATCCCAGGGTCCTGGGATCGAGTCCCACATTGGGCTCCTTGCTCAGCAGGGGAGCCTGCTTCTCCCTCTGCCTGCCAATCTCCCTGCTTGTGCTCTCTGACATATAAATAAAATCTATTTTTTAAGATTTTATTTATTTGACAGAGAGAGACAGCGAGAGAGGGAACACAAGCAGGGGGAGTGGGAGAGGGAGAAGCAGGCCTCCCACAGAGCAGGGAGCCCAACGCGGGGCTCGATCTGGGATCATGATCCGAGCCGAAGGCAGACGCCCAACAACTGAGCCACAGGCGCCCCTAAGTAAATAAAATCTTAAAAAAAAAAAAAAAGACTGACATGGTGAACAATAAAACCATAGATGTTGTATCCAAATGGCTTGAATATACAACTAAGAGAGCTTCTGTCCAATATTTTTTTTGAAACATTATTTTTTTTAGAGAGAGAGAGAAAAAGAGAGAGAGAGTGAACACAAGCAGGGGTAGTGGCAGGCAGAGGGAGAAGCAGGCTCCCTGCTGAGCAAGGAGTCCAACATGGGACTCGATCCCAGGACCCTGGGATCATGACCCGAGCCAAAGGCAGACACTTAACCGACTGAGCCACCCAGGTGTCCCGTTTCTGTCCAATATTATATTCAAAATTGATGTAAAAAAGAAATGAAAATGTAATTTTCATATATATTGTGTAGTAATGTATACATGGTATGTTATGTATTATTTCAAAATGTTATTTCACAAAGTGCTATACACCTTAGGAAGAGTGTTGTTATATTCTTTAAATTCAACCTCTTTTCTGTATATTGTACTATATGGTATATGATCCTATCCCCTCCTCCCTCCCCTATTCCTCTGGCTTGAATGGAAGTCATTTGTGAGCAGATCATCTAAACTGAGCAAAAAATTTTTATTTTCAATTAACTCAATATTATATTGACTGTCCAGTTTCTTATGTAAATATGCCAGTGTTCATTATCCTATTCATACCCTTGCTTAAAGAGTCAAATTATAACTAAAGTTTTATTTTAGAAAGAATAAAGCATAAAGCATTAGAGCCCACTTCTCAGGTAGTTTGATCCCGAACTTTAGGATCTCACACAAGGCAGTGGGGATTATGGGCTATAAGGATCAGGCCAAGATTTATCTGGAAGCTCCTAGAAGTGTTACCTCCCATTTACATTTAATCACAGGTGTTATATTAGGATAAAATGCTTAAATTATAACATTTGCATATTTCCCTTGGCAATGAACTTCAAAGCAAAGAGATGTAAGCTAATCTTTCAAAAAGGTACCTGCATATCACTTTACCACTCTGTATGCCTATGGAACACACTTTTGCTGATTTGCAGCTCTGTATTAACCACAGAGTCTACTGCTTCTTAGTCACATCCTATTAGATGTGATATCTCCACCAATCTAAAGCCTGGAATTTCTCTAGAGAGGAGTCAGCCTGGGGCAATCTATCTTCTATTTCGAAATTGTAATCAAACCCTTTGTAACACACCAAGCAGCTTTCCTCTTAAGGGACAAGCAAAGGTTATTAAGTAGTGAAAAGTTCAGTAAATTGCCCAAATCTAATATCATGCCAACTCCAATAAATAGGATGCAATCAAATTCATTTAAGAGAATATTACTTCACAGCAGGAAATTAGACAATACCAGATAATTTATACTTTAGTAGCCTATGGTATCACTAAAATTCGGCTACTTCTGGTCTGGAAGGCAGTCTCTAATTTGCTCACTAAACTGGGTAAGGACAATCTTAGCTAAGGGCAGGAAGAATGCTGAAAACTGCTGTACAGATCTTCGGTTTACGATGGGCTTATATCCTGATAAACCGATCCTAAGCTAAAAATGCCAAGTCGAAAATGCATTTAATAACACCTAATCTACTGAAGGTCATAACTTAGCCCAGCCTACCTTAAATGTGCTTGGAACACTTACATTAGCCTACAGTTGGGAAAAATCATCTAACACAAAGCCTATCTTATAACAAAGTGTCAAATATCTTATGTAAATTATTGAATACTGTACTGAAAGTGAAAGCCAGGAATGGTTGTATGGGTACAGAATGGTTGTGTTATCGGTTGTTTACTTTGGTGATCGTGTGGCTGAGAACTGTGGCTCCCTGCCCCTGCCCAGCATCCCGAGAGAGTACTGTACCAAATATCGCTAGCTCAGGAAAAGATAAAAATTCAAAACTCGAAGTATGCTTTCTACTAAATGCATATGGCTTTTGCACCATGGTAAAGTCAAAAAATCCCAAGTCAAACCACTGGAGAGCTGGGGACTGTGTATACATTGCTTATGTGAGGTGTCTGTTAGAGACTGGATGCATGAAGAAGTTAAATCATAACGGTAAGTACATTATTTGGGTTTCTTATCCTTAGACTTACGAGCATGCAAGATCAAGTTGAACCTGTTAAGATTATAAACAGTATCCAACCTTGGCTCCTGATTGCTTTTCTTCCTTACTCTGAAAAGGCAATTTTTCCTACTCTGTTTTCATATTTGATTAAACTACTATAAGAAAAACGGTCAGGTACATGTGCATTAGATTAACCGTATAATAGCATCACCTATAAACATGGTAGAAGATGCTTCCAAATCTAACATCCTTATTTAACATTCTTGGTTTGACTAGGATAGTTCAGGGATTACCATCTCTAATTTTTCATAGTCTGTCCTTAAGTGTAAGTAGCTTTAAAATATAGCTAAAACCTTAAACCTAAAACTGTGCATTTTGAATTTAAACCTAATATAAACTCATCCTACAACAGAAAGCTAACACATTCCTCCATGAAGCATACTGGGATGGAATAAAAATGGACAGAAGTAAAACTTGTTATAATATCAACATTCAGACTAATCTCAGTAGCCTTTCTTCTTTAATGTTTCCAAGTAATCTGGTGTATACTGATACAGAATGCTTATAGTTTTGAGACTAAGGAGGTACCTCCTGTATTAAATTTCTCCTGTAGCTAGAATTTAAATGACTTCAATCTTAAGAGTCCATTGTTAAACACTGATTCCTCTTCTGCTGCTAAAAGACTCATTAAGCAATCTAAGTACCTCCAACTTTTGATTTTTGCGGGCAACTTCCTTAATACCAGGTCTCTGCTGCATATAACTGAAGTCATATTTTTAGTGCCACATATGGTAAACAAGGCCCCAATTGTTCACTACGTCCAGAGTCAGTGGTACTAACTCAAGTATTCAGCTAACACAACTGAAGAAAATGAAGAGGCAAAGACAGAAGTATGTACATCTCAGATGTACCACTAACTACACTACCTGATTATCTACTTCACCAATTGTGATTTGAACCAATTCTAGAGAGGCTTGTGGTCCCAGTCTTCCCACGTGTCCCTGTCACAAACGATTTTTCTGTTTGTCCCGGCTTACCCAAAACTCTTTTCACCTGATATAAATGAATAAAGTTCACCCCAAAAAGCTGACACCTAACTATAATTTGTACTTTTCTCAGAGATTTCCAGATTAAATATACTTAGCAAAATTTGCAATTTAAAGCAAAGAAGATCAATATACAACTAAGCACAAAAGTGCTAGAATCAGGTAGATTTTGAATCCTTAATAGGTTCTTTGCTGACTTTTTTCAAAGCATGACAGTTTAATGATTATGGACCAATCTTTCACGAGCATCCCCTGAATGTCAGTCAAAACATTCTGTGCTGCACCCTAGACCAATTCAGCAACTCTAAGATGGGCCAGAAATGTGCATTTTAAATAAGCTCTTCAAATGACTTTTATGCTCCCTATTAAGAGTTTATTGGTCTAGCTCCTATAGTGACATGTATCCAATGAATTTCGGGTATCGATGTAGTGTCATGCTTACAGCCGGTGCTCTGATCTTGGCCAGCCAGTTTGCAAATGTATGCTGAGTAAGATGGTGGATGATCTGATGCAAATCCAGCTCCAGTGCTAGAAAAACCACACAGCACTGTCCTGTAGTGGGCCAGAGGAACCATCTTCACATACAAGAGTGATATAATAGTTTTTATTTCCTCTTAGAACCTATTTGATGAGGTTAATCTATCAGTAGATTAGTTACATTAGAAAAAATACATCAAACCTACTCATCATAGGGAGGCAGACTGGTGCCAGGATAAAGCAAACTGGAGCAGGAGGTCAAGAGATTTCCTGGTTCTAGTGCTGACTTTGTCTTTAACATGGTCAAATCACTTTAACTTTTCTGGGTCTAAGTAAGTCTAGATGACTTCCTTGATTTCCAAAGCCTTTTTCAGCTCCAAAATTTTGATTCTGGAGAAAGATTTGTGTTTTGAACATAATATTTGAAATGGGGACAAGAGATGAAATGTGGAGCTGAAATCAGGGCAAACTCATCTCTAATCCACTTAATAGCTTCTTTACAATTAATATTCATTGCAGGTCAGAATCCAATTATTCAGCAAAAAGCAGCATGAGATCACCTTCTAACATCTCTCCAGCTCCTTTGGGGTAGGTGAAAAGGGCTTTCCGTGGTGGGGCAAGGTCTGAGACACTGAAACCAGATCCAGTGACAGAACTTCCACTGACCCCACCAGCTGAGGAGGATGATGAAGAGGCAGCCATTTCCTCTCTAGCAGAATTCTCACTTCACTACAGAGAAAAAAAAACAGCAATTGGCAAGTTTATGGAAGTGAGATTGACAACATTTCATTCTAGCTGCCATAAAAACCAGCATACAGTTTAGTAAAGAATTAGCTCCCCCTTTTTCTACCCTCTCTGTTCCCACAATCTTTTACTGATGCCTCAGACAAAAATGTTTCTCAGGATTTTAAGTGAAAATATGTTTATTATGTTTTTCTACTTAAAACACTACTTCCTATCATTAGCAAACTGTTTATATTGCTTGGGATCGGCTGTGGGTGATTTATGGGTTATGAAGGGGTGATACGGCAGTGCCAAGGCAGCAATTTGACTGAGGAAATAAATTATATGAGGATAAAACAACATGCCTCATAGGACAGTTTGTCTTGGCTATATCCTGACAAAGCCACACCAAAAAATTCACTTATAAAATTTTCCAAATAAAATTCCAGAATAACACTGTGTTCTGTTCCCAAGGAAAGGGAATTAGTTAGGAAATACATATTTGTCCTTTCATTAAAAATGTTTTAAAAACTTTTTCATCCAACTGTAATACCCAAATTGATCACTTGGTGGCACCTCCAAACCAGAAGAAAATGGCTCATGAAATGATCTTCGAATTCATGGTTTATTACGAATATAGCAGCTGTGTTTAATCCTATGTCATATCAAAAAATCAAAAAGCCCAAATGCAAATGAGAAGATCTGTACTGAATACATGATTCCTTACAGAAGTTCAAAACAAAAATACTACCTTGGCCACTGAAGCTTGTATTACACACTTACATAATATTCTAAGACGTTTATGTTTTCTAAAAAGAATGGTCTAGGGGCGCCTGGGTGGCTCAGTCGTTAAGCGTCTGCCTTCGGCTCGGGTCATGATCCCAGGGTCCTGGGATTGAGTCCCACATCGGGCTCCTTGCTCAGTGGGGAGCCTGCTTCTCCCTCTCCCTCTACTGCTCCCCCTGCTTGTGCTCTCTCTGACAAATAAATAAATAAAAATCTTAAAAAATAAATAAAATAAATAAAATAAAAAGAATGGTCTAGCACTGTGCTAACAGAACTTTCTGCCATGATGGAGATGTTCTAACATTCTATTTCTGTGCTGTCCAATATGGTAGCCATTAACCTCATGTGGCTATTAGTGTGACTGAAGAACTGTGTTTTAATTAAATAGAATTTTTTAATTCTACATCTATGTGGGGCTTGAACTCACAACCCCGAGATCAGGAGTCGCATGCTCCACCAACTGAACCAGCCAGGTGCCCTTGAAGAACTATATTTTAAATTTTATTTAATATTAACTGAAATTGAAATAGCTACATATGACTAGTAGTTACTGTACTGGATAGTACAGCTCTAATATTTAGACTAAAAAATGACTTTATATTGAATTGTATGCTTTAAGATGGCTAATAGTTAATTTTATGTTATGTGAATTTTAGCTCAATTAAAAAAAAAAAAGAGGGACGCCTGGGTGGCTCAGTCAGTTAAGTGGCTGCCTTCGGCCCACGTCATGATCCCAGGGTCCTGGGATCGAGTCCCACATCGGGCTCCTTGCTCAGCAGGGAGCCTGCTTCTCCCTCTCTCTCCCTCTGCTTGTGCTCTCTCTGTCAAATAAATAAAATCTTTAAAAAAAAAAAGAAAAAGAAAAAAATGACTTTAAAAGGATTTAAAAAATGAATTTCCCTCTTTAATGGACACCGAGAATTTTAGCTGATTTTTTTTCTCCTTTTGCTAGTTGCAAAATAAAGACATTTGTTACAAAAGTTGGAACTTATTTTTGAAAAAATAGAAAAAATGAGGGAATGCAATGCAGATACAAATCCTACATATACATAATCCAGTTTCCTACCAAGAAAAATGATATACTGTGTATTTCTGAAATGCCGGCTGTTCTGTTTCCTTAATTTTGTGATGATGATTTAAGCCTGTTGGGGAGGCAGAGTTTAGTTTCCGATTTCATTATATGTCCATAAGTAATATGATTAAAACTGAAGTGGGATATGGGAACAGTAAGGCAACTGCTATAATTAGAATTTCAGCCTATTTAAAAATAGAAATTGATTAAGGACACTGTCAATCTTGCTATTAGATCACCTTTTCTTTTTTTCTGAGCTCTATAACTTCCAAATTGTATTCATATTCATAGAGACAACTTTTCAAGGCAGATTTATAGCCAATCCTCTGGGCAACACTAGCTTAAAATATACCTTGGCAGGTTCCTAAATGCTCTTTTAAACAGAACTTAAGCAGTAATGAACCTGGTCTAAATTTCTAAGTGGATTCTTGTTGGGATTCAAAGTATACAGATGATTTAGCCATCTTTTGGACAGGTACTCAGTCTTATTTTCCATTAGTTCAGAGCAGAACATACTGTGAACTGTTGATATATCTCACCTAAGACTTAAAACTCTAATCTTTTTCCTACACCTTGATAAATGCTCTATTCAGTTGCAAATGCAAGGCATACTTTTATATTTTGAAATCAGTTGCTCAGCAGAGCTCCCTAGGGACTGCCAGAGTGAGGACAGCTTCAAAGGCTAGATACAGTGTGACTTCTATGGGTGTAATCAAAGGAATTCCCTTTCATCCCATTTTCTTTCAAACTCAGAACTACTATCATTCAATACACAAAACAGCCAGGGTTGGAAACTGGAATGCATAATTAGCACAAAGCTACTTTTACATAAATAAGCAGTTTACTGCTGAGGTAGAATAATACACTTCAGTAATTTCTAGCTTTAAAGATTTAGGTTGAATTTTGCATGCTATCAGCAGATGGTAACAGAAGGTAAAGTGAAACTAACGATAAACCCTGCTTTGTAACTGCTTTATGAAGGCAGGCACTCTGATCATGAGAACCAAACATAATGCGTGACCTATACTAAATAGTTGTTGATTTAAATAAATGTTTGCTAAATGAATTAAACATTTCACAGGAACTACAAAATTCCTTAAAGGTCATCTAATCCAATCCCTCATGTTATAGATGACCAAACAAGACTGAGCTATAGAAACATTAGCATACATGCTGTGACATTCTTCAAGCAATGGTTTTGTGGCCATATCATGTGCCATGTGAGAGGTAAAACAGCATAGTGGTTAGAGTTCAGATTCTGAAGTTTCTTGGTCTGGGTTGATGTCCTGGTCTTGCTATTTAGCTTGCTGTATGACTCTGGACAAATTACTTAACCTCTCTGTTCCTCTGTTGCCTCATCTCTAAAATGGGGATAATAATAGTATCTACCTCATAAAGGTAGCACAAAGGTTAATATAACTAAAGCATTTAGAATAGTTACAGGCATAGTAAACAATATCAGCTATCCAAAATTAGTAATGGATATTTACTCCTCAATCTTTTTTTTCCCCTACGCAGATCCGTTTTTCATCCATAGTATGTCCCAACACACTCATGGGAAAAGTTTTAATTCTCTCCATTTGACAGAATCAGCAAGCTCCTAGAGGGAAAAGGATCTGCTCAGGAAGAGGGAAGACGCCCTCCATTAATGCACTTGCCACTTTCATTTTCAGGTTCACGAGTTTAGAAGAATTCTTTGATCTAGGAAAGGGGGAATAAGTTGCTTTCTACCCTTGGGGCCTAGCACAGAACCTGGATTAGAACGTTTTCTGAATGAATGCGGAACAAATGATAGAACACAGGGCTAGTGGCTCAGCAAAGGTTATATGCATGGGACAGAGAAGCGGGGTTTCATGAAGATTGGTCCATTATTGTTTTTTTTTCTTCCTCATTCTGCAGATTTACAGTATTAACACAACTCTCTCACACACTAGGCTGCTTAATGAATACATATTCATGGTGAAGTAGTCTGGGGTTTGGGCCTCTAAGGGAAGCCGAGTCTATTGGCAGTTGAGATCCCCACAGGAAAGCAATGCTACTTTGGGGGACACAGCATGGCTGTCTCCCCAGTGACAGGATGAACAAACATTTCCTTCATGTACGACAGGGATGACCTTGTATTCATAAACACTACTTCTTATCGGATATATGCCTATTTTCTTAAAAAGAATCCTCCCTTTAGAAGTCTCCTTATGAAAAAGACACTGAAGGAAGTACCCTGGTGTAATGGCAATTACAAGCAATCATTTAATTCCATCATCAACAAATCGTTGCAGTTAAACAGCTGGACTACCACCCAAACGGAAGCGGCAGCTAAAACCAGGTGGGGTGGCTAGAAAGGGGCTGGAAAGGAGAGGGGAAGAACGCCAGAGGTTTCCAAACTAACTCCAAGGTACGTTTCCTCCCCTTTCCCCGCTTGGACCCAAGGGGGCGACGCCTGGCGCCACCGTACTGCGCAGGCTCCAGCCCTCGACCCGCATGCGCACTCTGTTCGGCGCGGCCTGAGGAAATTTCCTCTTACACTCCCTCTGGTGCAGGCTCCAGTTTCTCCTCCTATCTTCTCCATTTTACTAGTCCCTGCAGGTAGGTTTCCAGGGATCAACTCCCTTCCACTAAGCTCCCGGGGGTCCCTGAGCCCTCGGCCACTTACCTCAATGGATTTGGCACTTTCCCCTACGGCCCCGCCCCCAGGGCCAGCCAGAACGGCCGCGTTTACAACGACGAGGACGGCGGCGTGCGCATGCCCGCGCGGAGGGAACCTGCGCCCGCGGCGTGCGGGCTCCCGCGCGCTGGTGGGCGTGGCCAGGGCGGAGAAGGGTGGAGGACGCGCTCCGACAGAGGACTTCCGGGTCATGCACTCACCCGGCCTTACCGCGGTTTGCCTTCCGCCCCGGAGTTCCTCTCTCTTAACTCGACTTAGTGTGCTCGCTTTTTTGCTTGCTTTTATGATTCAGGGCTTCACCTTCCCCACGGCATTGCAGGCTTTCTGCTCTGCTCTCTCCCCAGACTACCACGAAGCACGTTTAAATTGGTTATTCCCCCTTTTTTCAGTCTCATAGCCGGGTGTCTTACGGGAAATTCGGCAGGTGAAGTTCGCTGTCTCTGAGGGTCCGACCTAAACATTAAAATCTAATTTTGTGAAGGGCCTTTTTTCTTTTGTGAGATCCTGGGGGAATAGGCCACTAGAGTGTAATGCCATTAAATTGTTGCTAATTATGTCCGGCATCATTCAAGTCTGTTACTTTCTATGTTGTAATTTCTCACAATGCAAAATCTCCTCTTGGTTCTGTAAGCAAATTACAAATTAAAGTGACTTACTTGCTGAGGGTTGGATTGGGCCTTAGTGTATTTAATAAGGATTGGTCAGGTTTTTGGGAGGAACTCTAATTTTGGGCTTCCAAGACTGTTACCTATGTAGTAGGAAGATTGGTTGAACTTAACCACAGCTAGCCCATAAGGAACCTTTGTGTCCTTAATTCTTGATTCATTAAGTGGTGACTAGAAGCTTGGCTTCTCAGTGAATGATGTACATTTTTTTTAGATTTTATTTATTTATTTGAGAGAGAGAGAGCACAAGCAGGGGGAGCAGCAGCAGAGGGAGAAGCAGGCTCTCTGCTGAGCAAGGATCCAGATGCCAGACTCCATCCCAGGAGTCTGGGATCATGACTTGAGCCACCCAGGCATCCCATGATGTACATTTTTGAGTAGTGGCCTATAGAAATGGATTCCTTCTCTCAGCAGTGTGTTGGTTTGAAGAACCATTTGGTTACGTCATATTTTAACTGTTTTGATGGGCAACTGGATCTAATTTTGAGGTATATTTCTAACACCTCTAAAAGTATTTAGGGGTTATTCCCCCCCGCCCCCAAGGATAAGTGTGCTAAACATTCCTAATCCTCTGAATTATCGTGCTGGATTAAAAGGGTGAGACCCTTACCAAATGGTTAGATAAACACAGAAGGTTTAACTTTGAGGTAAAAATAATAAAGAGACATCTATGCTTTCAAGTCATGGACAGGCTGTATAGAGAGGGCCGAGTTTCTTTTAATCACCTTTTCTTAGAGTGCTGAAATAGTTTACAAATTACTGTCTAGGGGCACCTGGCTGGCTCAATCAGTGGAGCAGGCAACTCTTGATCTCGGGGTTGTGAATTCGAACTTGATGTTGGTTGTAGAGATTATTTAAAAATAAAACTTTTGTGGGGCGCCTGGGTGGCTCAGTTGTTGGGCGTCTGCCTTCGGCTCAGGTCCTGATCCCAGGGTCCTGGGATCGAGCCCCGCGTCGGGCCTTCTGCTCCGCGGGAAGCCTGCTTCTCCCTCTCCCACTCCCCCTGCTTGTGTTCCCTCTCTTGCTGTGTCTCTATCAAATACATAAATCTTAAAAAAAAATAAAACCTTTGGAAACAAAAACAAATTAGAGTGAGCCAGGAGTAGAGTGCTGTCGTGGAAAATACAGCAGTTACTTAAAACAGCTTGCAGATAGGGAAATCCAGTGGAAACAGTGCTGCTTTTGTTTAGGATGTGCTGTGAACTGATGTCCCGATTACATAATGATCCATAAAATAGAGATACGGTTTTCATTTCTGATTAAAACAAGGTAAGGTGATCATTTATTTTTCAGGATTTCACTAGAATATTGTTTGGAGAAAGTATCATGGAAGTTCTGCGCCCACAGCTTGTAAGAATTGGTGGACGGATTTACAGAAAAAATCCCATCCAAGAACAGACTTGTCAACATGAAGAAGATGATGAAGACTTCTATCAAGGTAATCCTAGTTGCTCTTTGGTCAGATACCAGTACAATGTTCTCTCGCATTATAGAAACATTGCTTTGTTTTGTTTCATAGTGTTTCTGTGTGAGCACTGAAATTTGAGATGTTTGGCCTCTATCTAGCTCCATTTGTGTTGATGTCTAAGGGGACTGGTGATTTTCATTTTGACGAGGCATTCTCATTTGCACTTCTAAATCATGTTTCATCTTTGTGCAGAGGCTTAAATGTAACACGGGGTAATTTTAGTAAACAATGTTAACCATGAATATTCTGTGACAAAATTAAGTTCCTTTATCTGTAAAGTTGTGAAATAATATATATAAATTGTTGAAATAAATGAAATATGTATTTTGTCCAGTGCACCAAAATATTAACTGTTAATACAGTTAATGTTGTTATTTGTCTCTTCTTTGCACTCATATTGGCAGTTCCAAATATACAACTAACATAACTTTATTATTACATAGGGATAATTTTAAGAAGTAAGGTAAACAGTGGGGATGGATTATGAATATTTTGAAGCTGATTAACTTGGGCTTGGGTTTAATGCATAAATAAGTCCTTTCAGGTTCTCTGCTTCCTTTTCCTTTTGGTTTATAAGTTCTTCCATCATGCCCTAAGCCTTGGGGTTTGTCTTCCTTCTGGTTTTCCCCATTGTTTCCCTTCAGCCTTGGGGACTTGACCTTCTTTACTTGACCCTCCTGTCTCTTTGCCTGGTGGAATGGAGTAGGTTCTCCTGCTACCATTCCTGTCTCATTCACTGAAGTAATTTTGTGTCTTAATACTAAAAACTGCTTACTTGCACACTGTAAGAGGATGTTATGTGAATTACATCTTTATAAAAAAATAGAAAAAATTCTTGTGTCTTAGCGTTTTGGGAGAAAACAGTTAAATAGTGGTATTTATATACTATCTTTCCAAGGTTTTTTTTTTTTTTAAGATTTTATTCATTTATTTGACAGAGAGAGACACAGCGAGAGAGGGAACACAAGCAGGGGGAGTGGGAGAGGGAGAAGCAGGCTTCCCGCTGAGCAGGGAGCCCGATGCGGGGCTCAAACCCAGGACTCCGGGATCATGATCTGAGCTGAAGGCAGACACCTAACGACTGAGCCACCCAGGCGCCCCTAGTCATGTGTTTTTTAATTTTCTTCTAAGAGCAGGTTGGAAGGACTGTCAGCAGTATTCTGCAATATAAAGTGTTGGGCTGTTCTGTGTGTGTGTATTTTTTTAAACCTTGAGCATGATTGGCCGATGGGAAGAAGACTGTTGTCCACAGAGCAGCAGATGTGAGGAGGTGTTATGGTTTCTCTGCAGGCTTTGTGGAGTATGCAGAGGAGCCCTGTGATGCCTACGAGGTGGTGCCGACCCAGCAAGGTTTCCGGTGTACCGTGAAGGCCCCCAGTTTGCTCTACAAGTGAGTGAGGCCCCCCACCACCCAGCTTCATGGGACACACTTCCAGGAAACTCAGCAGGAAGCTGACTCTTTTCCATACTTACTGAGTGCTTGATTACTAATGACAAAACAATTTAGTGTTTTATGTCCTAGAATTTCTAAGGACTGATTATGGATCAATTTCACCGTTCCAAATGTATCACCAAGTCCTGTTGGTTTTGCCTCTTAAATATCTTTTGAATCTACCATTGGTCTTATTCTTTACTGAAAGACCAGCACCCTGCTGCATCTTCTGTGGATTACTTCAGATAGCCTCCTTACTAGGCTGTCCACATGGATTATTGTTCTCCTCCCAATCAGTTCTTCACATTGAGGGTGGAATGATCTTTCTAAAACGCAAATGTGATTATTTCCTCTGCTTAAATCTGTCAACATCTTTCCATTGAAGATGGAATTCTGTTCCATTGGAATGATGGAATCTTGAATGTGACTTAGGCAGCCCTGCATTTTTCAGTCACAACTCATACCATTCTTTTTCTGGTTTTGCACTTAAGCCTAGCTAGTTTTCTTCAGTTCCTGAAGTGTGCTTTGTTCCTTCCTGCCATGGAGCTTTGGCATACGCTGTTTCCTTTGCCTTATAATCTCTCTTCCTTACCTAGTTATATTCTTCTTTCTTAGGGAACCTTGCTTTGACACCATCATCCCTTCCAACCACACTGACTACCATATGTTTTCATAACATCCTCTACCTTTCCTTTGTACAATTTTTCGGCCATGTATTTACACTTATTTGCATATTATTGGATGTCTTCTTCACAAGATGGGAGACTTCTGGAAGGCAGGAATGTGTTCCATTAATCTCCATTGTTTGTCAAAAACTGGTATGCTTTCTCCAAGGTTGTCATTATGAATTTGCTTGGAAACTTTTTGCTCACTTCAGTCGGTGCTTGCTTGCTTGCCCACATTCTGTCCCACCACTAACATGATTAGCTTATCATCTGCCTTCGGCTCAGGTCATGATCTCCAGGTCCTGGGGTCAGGCCCCAAGTCTTCCTCTCCCCTGATCATGCTCTCTTTCTATATCTCTCTGTCTCAAATGAATAAAATCTTTAAAAAAAACCAAACATAGTTAGTTTATGTGGCTAACTGGCTTCTTTTAGGTTTACACCTCTGGAGATAGGCTGGTCTAGGAATTGTGTAAATTGTTTTTCTGTGTTGTACCAGATAAATTAAGTGTTCAAGCTCCTCTGTGAAAGGAGATCTACAAATATGGAATTATATACCTTTAAGCTCCACGAAACAAATAATTTTATTTTCACCAATCTTGAAAATATTCTGAAACACCTATTAAGGATGAAATTCTTCTCTTGGAATGTGGCCAGATGGGAAACCAAATGCTAAATCTGATAGCTCATTTTCCTTTAAGGTTTCAGTGACATTTTCTTCTAAGAAACAAGATTTTAGAAAGTCATGGTTCCGTTTCCTGATGAAATCCGTGTAACCGTTTTCCTTAATGTGTATATTTGCCACCACTAAGTTGTGTAAAAATTCCTTAGATGTCTGATTCCAACTTGATCTTCAGAATTCTATATATTTTAAGTATTCATTGTATTCTAGATGACTTGCATGTTAAATTAGGTATTGGTTCTGTTCAATTGTAATTAATAGACAGTATTTACTAGGAAGATTTCTTTCTTTTTTTTTTAAGATTTTATTTATTTATTTGACAGAGAGAGACACAGCGAGAGAGGGAACACAAGCAGGGGGAGTGGGAGAGGGAGAAGCAGGCTTCCTGCGGAGCAGGGAACCGGATGTTGGGCTCGATCCCAGGACCCTGGGATCATGACCTGAGCCGAAGGCAGACGCTTAATGACTGAGCCCCCCAGGTGCCCCAGGAAGATTTCTTTCTTATTAATCATTTCCCTAGGTTCATTTGGATCAGGGAAGAAATTACTTGACCAAACTAATTTATAATGAAATCCTAATGGTTGTAATACCTGTCCATGTACTAGATGTTATACATTAGTTCTCGACATCAGGTGCACATTAGAATCACCTGGGGAGCTTTTAAAACTCCCTATGCTTGGATGCACCCCAGACCAATTAAATCAGAATCTCTGGGAGCTGGACTGAGGCATCATTAGTCTTTGAAGCCCCCCAGGTGATTCAAGTGGGTAGCCAAGATTGAGAACTACTCGATCTGGTAGGAATTTCTACTTATATGTTTAATAAAGGAGTCACCTTTTCACGGTGTGTCTCTTATTATTGTAGGGAATGTTTTAGACTCCCCATGTAAACCTCTTTTGAATCTGGCTATGCTCTAAATTGGAAGGATGCCATTATGGGCTGAATGAGGATGGTATGGACCGTACTGAGCTACATGCCAGTCACTGGAAAGCCGTTTTATATATGATCACGTTTAATCCTCACAACTTTATTATACTTAGGTATTATTCACTCAATTTTTGAAAGTGAAGAAATAGGTTTGGAGTGGTTAGATTAGTGGTTAGACTTGCCCAAGACTTTAGTCTAAAACTTCTTTAACCTCAACCACTTCCTTTTTAAAATGCCTAGACTATAGGGGCGCCTGGGTGGCTCAGTTGGTTAAGCAACTGCCTTCGGCTCGGGTCATGATCCCAGGGTCCTGGGATCGAGCCCTGCATCAGGCTCCTTGCTCTGTGGGAAGCCTGCTTCTCCCTCTCCCACTCCCCCTGCTTGTGTTCCCTCTCTCGCTGTGTCTGTCAAATAAATAAAATCTTAAAAAAAAAAAATATTAAAATGCCTAGACTATTAATAACACGTTGAGCCAGCTACGTTTGTGTGTGTTTTTAAAGATCTTATTTTTAACTAATCTGTACACTCCAACGTGGGGCTTGAGTTCACAACCCCCAGATCAAGAGTTGCATGCTGTACGGACTGAGCCAGCGGGACACTCCAAGCCAGCTGCTTTTTGTAAGAGGCTTCTCTATTAGCCATATGCTAACCAACAGTAGCCTGAGTGAAAGTAGCCCTTATTGATAAGGCCTGGAAAGACAAAAGCCTGACAAAGTGGGTGCCAGCAGAGAGTGCAACACAGGGAAAAACTACAGGGAAATTGTGGCGTTTCAGTCCTCTTCTAAACATCTTGTTTTCTGTTTTCTGTCTTTTTTTTTTTAACCTGGCTTACTGCAGTAGATCTTAATGGAAATAATTGGGCTGGTTATTCCAGGTAAAAACAAATGCACAGTTTTAGACCTAGTCACCCATATTGTTGGGCACTGTGATTGAAATCATAGAAGCTGAAATACTGTTGATGATGGGGAAGTTTTTTCTCTTTATAATCCTGTCTTTGAGACTTTAGTGCTTTATAGACTCTGAAACTTTTCTCCTGGTTCTAGTAGTCTCATTTACTTTAACACCTGTTATTACTGTGGGTTCCAGAAGATAACCTTGGATTGTCAGAATTATTTATTCCAGGAGGCCCAGGCGATGAATGTAAAGGAGTCACTAGATGGTTGAAGCAGAGTAGATGAAACGGAGTAGGGAGTGATAGGGATTGTGATAAGCTCATGTTCCATTTTTAGGGACGAAGAGTAAGCTCCAGCCCCTTATTGCCATGGGTTGTCAGATCTTCTAATTTTTCCAAAGAACCTGGAAATCTATATTTTTAGGTGAAATTTCCCAATTTTTAGGTGAAATCTCCTGAACAAAACATGTATCTGCTGAATTCAGCTTGAGGGTTACCTGTCTTCTCTTTTTGCTTTTGAAGCTATTCTGGATAATCTCTCCTAAATGATGGATCCTTCTCTTTGCTAAGCTTTTTACCCTTATTTTATTAATCAAGGATAATTCTTTTACAATGAACTCCTAATATAGTTAATTTGCTCTCTAAAGGACAACGTTTTCCCCAAACTGTAGACCCACTGGTTGCTAGAAGTGCCTTTTGAGACGATGCCAGCTTTCTTTTCAATGAACTGCAGACTCATGTTTTGAATCTAATATTGAAGAGCGATCAGGTGTTGGGCATGGGATGGTTATTTCTGTTTATTCATTAAATTGACTGTAGGGCATCATTTTGCCCATGAGTGCAATGCAGCACATTCTATAAAGCTATACAACTTGTAATTTCTCTACAAATATTAAGCCTTACTGAAGCACTTTTCTGTAAGGGAGTATCTGTGGCCACATATGATTTAAACATGATGGAATTCTTTATTCTGGTACATTTGACTTAATGTCCTTCCATTAATTAATTTTTGTTTATATTATAGGCACATAGTTGGCAAAAGAGGGGACACTAGGAAGAAACTAGAAGTGGAAACCAAAACCTCTATTAGCGTTCCTAAGCCTGGACAAGAAGGAGAAATTGGTGAGACTTGGTATATATAAGTTATATTTGCAATCACTTTTGCATGAGTATGGAATAGTGTGACCCAGTGGAGGTATTTAGTGACTGTAGTCTTTTTTTTTTTTTTTTTAGTGTCCCTGGGTGGGATTGAATAGTGACTGTATTCTTTGTGGGGTTCTGTAGCAGTTGGCCTTTTTATGATATATCAGTATCAGTCTCCCAAATGAAGAAAGATGTAGTTATACAACCTTGTCTCGTTTGAGTATCTGGGCTTTCACTTTTTTACTTTACCGTGTACTGATGTTATAAAGCTTCCAGATTTTGTTGTGTATTAGGAGAATAATTTCATGCTTTACTAGCTTGAAATGGAGTTTGTGAATTGTTTCAAGTTAGAATTAGAGAAAACCAATGAGGTCAGCAAGTTTGCAATAAAGTTCAGCCCTTTCCAGAAGGGTTCTCTTGTTTTTACCTTGCTTTGTAGACTGGGAAGGATATTATAAAAGTACCAATTAAAATAACAACCTGAATCAAGTAACTGCTCAAGTGAGGAAAAATAGTGCAGTATAAATCAAGTCAGAAAGGGTCTGTACCAAGCATCATTGTGAACCCAGGGCACAGGCTTGTGTTGTAAAATGGCTTTGAGTGAAGGGCACTGTAGGGACAAAATTTAACAACAAAAGAAAAGGCAACTCATTCTAAAACTGTAGGACTTCTTCAAAGTCAAGTAAGTGCAGCAGCCTCCAATAATACATTTTTTATAAACACCCATAGGTTTTATTAAGTTTTAGGGAAAAAAAATTACTAGTGTTCTTCTCATTTTGTGCTCTGTAAGAACAATCATCACGACAGATACAATGCAGGTGAGTGTAGAGCAGTACTGCCCAAAAGGACTTCCTGTGATGATGGGAATGTTTTCTACTTCCACTGTCTAGTGCGGGAGTCACTAGCACGTGTGATCGTGAGTACTGGAAATGTGGCTAGTGTGACTGGGGAACTGAACTTTTTTTTTTTTAAACATTCTTAGTTTATTGATCCTCTCATGAAAAATCTGCACAACCACCACAGATAAAGCCACTGCAGCATCTTTACTCCTTCTGTTGTCCAATCTCCAGCTCACTTTTTGCCAGCACCAACGTTGGCTTTTGCAGTC